GGGAAACATTTCCTCATCGACACTGACTGTGTTGATGGGGGAAGCAAGTGATTTTCTTTCCTTCCACCCACGGGAACGGAGGTCTGCATAGGTACATTCAAATGTACTAAATGATTTGGATTTGGACAGAAGATTTGGATTTAGTCCTAGTGGACATGGAAAAAAATAAACATACATACTCGCCTCCAGGCTACAGTTGTCTCCCGCAGGCTGGAACTCCAAGAACTGAATGATCATATGACTGCTGATCTTTCAGTTCTTGGTCTGCTTAGAGAGGAGAACAGTGACTTTTAGTCATTGCTCTCTGCTGTGCCCCTCCAGCACTGAGTGCTGGGCTGAGGAGCGGAAGGGTACAACTGGATTTGGCTGAGAGCTAAAGCCAGCTGTCAATCAGAGAGTTGGGTGGATGCCAACAATATGGTCTCCCTCTTTCCAAAGCCTGGAATGGTTCTGTAAAGTAAGGTGACAGAGAGCTTTAGCTGATTCGGGGTCACAGGAGAGAAAGGTCAAAAGTAAGTGTAATCTTTTAGTAAGATTTCTGGTAAACCTTTGTTTGAACTCCGTAAAATTGAGGGAGGGTTGTGTCCATGATATTGCTGTTTTTTATGTAGCTAGTAATGTAAAAGTAGCTAAAGCTGCCCAAACGTCAACAAGGATTATAATTTTCTATTTAAAAGAACCTCCCATGGGTTTCATAGGAGACTGCAATGCAGAAAGATTCTAAAGAGATTCAAACTCGAATCCACAATTTTTAGTACTTTGGGAACATCAAATACTGTATGTAGCACAGATCCAGGAGAGGCATATCCCCTGAAGCATTTGAGGAAGCATCAGGGACATATTTTGCAATTCTGTCAAATGTTGAGTACCAACTCATTTAAACTTATTTTATTTATTTTTTATATATATAGCGCCGTCGAGTTATGCAGCGCTTTTACATATATATTATACATTCACATCAGTCCCTAACCCTCAAGGAGCATACAATCTAAGGTCCCTAACTCACATTCATACATACACATACTAGGGCCAATTTAGACCTGATCCAATTCACCTACCAGCATGTCTTTGGAGTGTGGGAGGAAACTGGAGGAAACCCACACATGCACAGGGAGAACATGCAAACTCCAGGCAGGTGGTGCCGTGGTTGGGATTCGAACAGGTGATCTTGTACTGCCAGGCAGCAGTGCTAACCATTTACCCACTGTGCTGCCCCTAAACTTTATAAGAGTTTTCAAGAGCCATAGTGTTTGAGGAGCTTTTGACAATGGTTTGCAAAATTTCATTCCAGCCAGCAATATTTAGCGTGCTCTCTTAGTCTGCTCCTATTTTGTTATGTAAGGAAATGTTTTAGGGGAGTTTGTAGATTTGAGGTCCCTATACAGAGGGGAGAATTAGGCCTGTGAACTGGGGGATGGTAGAGCAACTGTCTTCAAAACCTGTTAGCTTTACTTTCATAGAGGTCCAAAAGTTGGGATTGGAATTCTTTTAAAACCTTGACAAGACTTAGCAAACATATTATGTTTAGTTCAAAAGGAGATTGGTGTGAATTTCCGCTAGATGCAGCAGAGACAATTGGCCAGCATTGTTCTAGGTTTGCTGCCTTTTGGAAAAAAATTTTTGTTTGGACTATAAAGTTGGTGTTCTGCTATATCCGTAAGGCAGAAATTGAAGCTTGCAAATAAGCTGTGGGAAAGGGTTTTATTTATTGCTGGGGTAACTGATTTTAAATCAGTTTTGAGATGTAGTTCATTTCACATTCTCTCTGCCTTTGAAAGGCTATTTGGATGACATAACCTTCCGGAAACATTTTATATTCTTATCAAAGGCAGTTGGAGAAGTGGTCAGGCCGGATTTGATGTATTCCTTTGTTGTAAGCACACCACAAGTTTAAAAGGCTAAAAATCAAATGTGGCTTACGGTCAAAGTTAAAAAACTATAATAAGAAAAGAGCTTTTATTAAATATAAAAATGAAGGAACGCTATCATCGTTTAAATATTACAAAGAATATAACAGAGTATGCAGAAAGGAAATAAAGGCCACAAAAATTGAAAACGAACGACAGATTGCAAAAGATAGCAGAACAAAACCCCAAAAGTTCTTCAAATATATTTATAGTAAAAAGGCCAGGTTCAAGCATGTAGGCCCTTTACAAAACAATCTAGAGTGGGTGACAAAGAGAAGGCAAATGTATTAAATACCTTCTTCAGTTCTGTGTAAACAAAGGAGCATGGGGGAGCTCTTGTCCAGAATGGGCATGGTATTGATACAGCTCCAGATGATCCACATTGGCTCACAATTGATATGATCCAGAAATATTTAGATAGAATAAAGGTGAATAAAGCACTTGGACCAGATGGCATATACCCATGGGTCCTTAAAGAATTTAGCTCTGTAATTTCAAAGCCATTGTTTCTAATTTTTAGGGACTCTTTAATGACTGGCATAGTAACACTGGATTGGCGTAAGGCCATTGTAGTACCAATATTTAAAAAGGGGTCAAAATCTTTACCAAGTAATTATAGACCTGTTAGTTTAACATGTATAGTTGGGAAGATACTGGAGAGTTTAATAAAAGATCACATAGATGAGTTCTTGCTGGAAAAAAAATATTTTGAGCAACAGACAGGGTGGATTCACGAAAGATAGAAGTTGTCAAACAATTCTGATTTCTTTTTATGAGGAGGTGTGCAAAACCTTGGACACAGGGGTGGCGGGTGGGTGTGGTATACTTGGATTTTGCAAAAGAGTTTGTAAAATCCGTATGTAAATGGATAGAAAACTAACTAAAAGATCGTGTTCAGAGAGTAGTGGTTAATGATTCATACTCTGAATGGTCTAGGGTTGTCAGTGGTGTACCCCAAGGTTCAGTGTTGGGACCCTTACTTTTTAATATATTTACAAACGATATAGGGTCTGGGATTAAAAATACAATTTTAGACTTTGCAGATGACACCAAGCTGTGCAGTGGAATAATGTCCTTACAGGATGTCTCCAACTTACAAGCCGACCTCAATGCACTGTTTAGTTGGGCAGCTATGTGGCAAATGAGGGTTAATGTTGATAAATGTAAGGTTATGCACTTAGGGGCTAAGAATATGCATGCATCATACATATTAGGGGGGTACAACTGGGGGAATCAATGGTGGAGAAGGATCTGGGAGTTCTGGTAGATCACAAGCTTAATAATGGCATGCAATGCCAAGCTGCGATTTCTAAAGTGAGCAAAATCCTCTCTTGTATTAAAAGAGGTATAGACTCCAGAGAGAGAGATATCATATTACCCCTGTACAAATCATTAGTAACACCTCATCTGGAATATGCAGTTCAATTTTGGGCATCAATTCACAAAAAGAACATTGGGGAACTGGAGAAAGTGCAGAGAAGGGCAATCAAACTGATAAGAGGCATGGAGGAGCTCAGCTATGAGGAAAGATTAGAGGAACTGAATTTATTCTCTCTTGAGAATAGAAGATTAAGGGGGATATGATCAACATGTATAAATACATCAGTGTTTCATATAGTGAAACCGGTGTAGAGTTATTCGCCCTGAGGTCATCACAGAGGACAAGGGGGCACTCTTTACGTCTGAAGGAAAAGAAATTTAATTTCCAAATATGGAAAGGTTTCTTCACAGTAAGAGCTGAGAAAATGTGGAATAGACTCCCTCAAGAGTTGGTTCTGGCCAGCTCAGTGGATCGCTTTAAAAAAGGCCTGGATTCTTTCTTGGATACACAGAATATAACTGAGAATAAACAAACAAGTTATTTGTCATTTTTGTGGGAACACATTTTAATGTTAGCAGCAGCTATCTCAATTCAGTTTATTTAATTTTCACTTTGTTATTTGTTGGATAGCGCAGGGGTCCACGCACTTTTTTATTTTTTTACAGAATATAACTGGTTACTAACATTTATAGATAAAGTTGATCCAGGGAATATCCAATTGCCTCTCGGGGATCAGAACTTTCTGATCCCCCAAGAGGCAATTGGATATTCCCTGGATCAACTTTTAAATTATTTCCCATGCAGGAGCAAATTGAATCATGCTTTGCTGGGTTTTTTTGCCTTCCTCTGGATCAACTGTGGGTATAGGATTATAATTTTTTTTTTCTTTATAATGGTTGAACTGGATGGACTTTTGTCTTTTTTCAGCCAGACTAACTGTGTAACTATGTAACAATATCTAGGTGAGATAGTGATGTGTCCCTTAGTAACCAAGGGGAAGGCCCATGTTCCGGTAATAGGGATCTACATGTCAGCACCACCAGGTTGTGGTCCAACAAAGGAAAGAAGAGGCTATAGCCATAAAGAACAGTTGGGTAATTGCATGTTAATTGCAATGGTTTTGGAACAGGATATTCAGAAATGTCATATAGATGTTATGATCAAATGTCTGCAAACTTTTGGCCATATAATGTTTGTAAAATACTACCCAGAAAACAGAAATGACATACTATTTTATGATGTTATAATGTTCAAATTAAACTGAGGTGATTGTAGCCGTATTAGTGCATTTGTGACAGGAACAATTGAGTACTGTCCGTGATACTTTTTATATTTGCACTAGCATACAATTTTGAGGACAAGCTTTCAGGGAATGTCCCTTTCTTCAGGTCTAAGCACCCGAAAGCTTGTCCTCAAAATTGTATATTAGTGCAAATAAAAAAAGTATCATGGACAGTACTCAATTGTTCAAATTAAACTGAAAATTTTTTGTAACCAGGGTTAATATATATACATACAGTAGAGGCACTTGCATAGGATGAGCAAGAGTAGTATATATTGTGTGTCGATCTCAGTCTGCTACAGGCCCCAGAAATTATGCACTGTACATCAATATGTAATTTGTATATGTTATGTAATCTAAGTTAAACATTAGCTAGATCACAAGTTAATGTATTACATGGAAATGAGCACAAGAATTGTGCAGCAAGTAGTAGTTTATAATAGCCAACCTTTAAAAAAAAAAACTCTCACTTTTTTTATTTATTTTTCAGGAACACCTATGGCTTTAAAACTTCTTCCAAAAACTTTAACCAAGAGACAAAACTTCCTGTATGAATACTGTGTGGCTCTTTCCCTATCTACTCACCCAAATATCATTGGCATGTTTGGAATTGCATTTGAATCATCTGAACAATATGGTTTCCTATATGAAGCTGCCCTGCAAAAAGATCTTATTTCCATTATAAAGCCAAGTGTAAGATATTGTTATATTTCTGATGTAGCATTTTTATTGTGCTATAATATGCATATCATTTGTAATATATAATTCTATTATCATAATTGATCATATGGGCAATCAAGAAACATTGGGTAAACTACAGGGAGGAAGAGCAATATGTAATCAAGGATAAATAGCTCAACCATATAAATGCTTAGTCTTGTACACTGGAAAGGTGCTCTGATAAATAAAAACACTGAAACTAAGTATTAAAAAAATGCTTTAACAAATATTCTAGCAAGTACATTCCATATATGAATAAACTGTCCAACAAAAAATAAAAATTTATAAGGCTGGATGGGAAAGTTTTCAGATATGAAATACAAAAAAAACAAATAAGTTAATTCCCTTGAAGTGGTTGTAAACCTCAAAAATGCACATTTAAAAAGCACATCCCACTATAGTGTGTACCTACCTGAATCCAAAGCACCGAGTCTGGTTCTTTTCTGATCTCTCTTCCCTTTACTATCTACCTTACTTACTGCTAACAAATTAAGTCAACACCACAGCCTCCAGAGAGATGACCCACCCCTCCTCCAGCACACAGCAGATGACTCATTCCCTCAACTATACGTTTCTGCGAGCCTGTGTGTGTGTGAATGGTCACTTTCCTCCCATCAGTTCTCAGATTACACTCAGCTCTGTGCTCTAGCTCTGCAGTAAGTGTGATGTCAGATCCCTGCCGCCTGCTTTCTGCTGCTGAGAAAATTCCTTTCTGTGTGTTGTAAAAGACTGTACAGGACAGACGACTACAGGAAAACAGGTAAAACGTATGCAGGAGAATTGGTGTTTCATCTGTAGATAGTCACTGGGTATACGTAAGGGTTTAAAACCACTTTAAGGTTAAGAGTACTGATATTTCATATGTACAGTAGCACCCTCCTAGTTAGCTAGAAATGTCTAGAAGCAGTGGGTGGATCTGAGGATTGACTGTCCTGAACTCTTAAAGGATCCTGGCCGTTCCTCAACAAGAGGCTTGGAAAGGGGTTGGGACAACCTTTAAGCGTTTCTGAGTGTAAGGGATTTCCGGTGAGATCCCAGGTGGGCTATTTAAAGAGTGCCTCTGCCCATGATAGGTACTGACTGGTCTTCAGCTCCCCCGTGTCCTGCTTGTTCCTGTGTGATTCCTTTGTTGCTGACCTGGCTTGTTCCTGACCTGACTCTGATTGCTCTCCTGATTGATACTGGTTCCTGACTTCAGCTCTGCTTCTGACCTTGGCTTTGCTTCTGATTCTGTACCGTGCTGTCCGCCCGTTGATGACCCTGGCTATTCCTATGACATTGCTCCTGTCTCTTTCCCTGGCTACCTGCCTTGCTCTGGTGCACGCCTGGCAATCTACAAAACCCACTCTGCTTGTTACTACTGTGCCTGCATCAGAAGATCATCAGTCTTCCAAGGTCATCATCTGCAAGAGCTGCAAACAACATCTACTGGCGCTCTTGTCCCCCTGGTCCCTAGACTCCCTCTGTTCCAACTCCAGTGGGGTCAGGGCTAGTGACACAAGTGAGGCCGACCTCATCTTTTTAGTCTCCCATCAGGTACGTGACACTGAGCCAGCTCAGCTGCAGGGGAAAGTTTGGGTGGAAGACAGAGAGGAAGATGTGAGGCTGAAGACAGGAGCCTGTGAGGGAGCCCAGATGGAGAGAAGGGGCCACCTACAGGCAGTGGAGCTGGAAAGGAAGAAAGCTCATGACTTCACTGGCCCTCAGAGCGAGGACTACCTGTACAGCAGGGAAGGAGCAACCTGGATAGAAGGCCTTGTAGCATCCACCAATCCATCATAGGTACAGGAGAGGATCTGAGCGAGTACCCCTGCACCCCCTTGGCGGATAGGGAAAGTAGCACTTTGGTGGGAAACCAGATTCGCCACCTACATGGGAATGTACATTTCTTAAAGTGACAGGGATACCTCCAGACTGCTGGGTGAAGGAAGAAAAGTTTATCTAGGGTCTGGGGTGGTGGTACATTAAAAAGATGCTGGCTAGCACTCCAACAGAGTCTGTGTTGCAGTGGAGGCTTGTAAATAGTTCCAGAAAGTTGTCCTCAGTTCATCAGTTCCTTTGGGCATCCCATACACCTCTAACCCTATCCCAGTTCAAATCCCCTAATAAAAATAACAAAAAAAACAAGCTCAAGGACTGATCTCTGACTCTGGATGCAAGTCTGTGTGAACCTGACTTTGCAGGACTATAGGGGGACCCGAAATCTCTTTTACAACTCCTAAGGGGGTAGTGCTACACATAAATGAAATATAATGCATGAAATAAAAACTGCAAAAAATAAATCAAGTTTTTAAAGACTCCAGCTAAAAAAACAGACTGCTAATGCTAGTAAAGCAAAAAACATTTACAGCTTTAACAATTCTAAAAAGAAGACATTTGATAATACAGAGGCTCAAAATCATAACTATGGAAAAAATACTGTAAAGCACAAAGTCAAGACATTAATTGTTACTAATATAACACATGAAGAGGTTAAATATAGTATTAATGTATTGCTACACATTTTATTTAACTCCGGTATAAAGTAAATAAAAGACAGGCTTCAGCTCCAATCCCTGCCATCAGTCATGCCCCTCTAAGTTATTTCACATTGGGTTTAATCATAGAGGGCATAGAGGACACGTAGAGTACACAAAGAGGTCCAGTTTCGCTTAACTAAAAATAACATAGATAAAGAACCTATCTGGGATGTCATCCATGCTATGATAGATAAAAATTAGAAAGCCTCAATTTTCATAGATTTTCAATTGGTATAGCCCACATGGCCAGAATACAATTGGTGCCATGCCATTATTTAAGAAGTGTAAAAAGCAAGAAAAAAGTAACTTCTGGCCAGTAATCTGGACACCAGTCATGTTTAACTAACATGATCAGTTTGCATGAATAAATACTATTAAATAAAAACTTTAAATACTTTTAAATTTGGACTGGATGTTGGAAATGCTAATGATGTGATTTATTTGGACTTTGCAATAGTATTTGATTTTGTTCCTGTTGTTCCCAACAGTCTGGTACCAAAGTTGAGCATGCAAATGTAAGGGTAATGTTTGTATATAAGTAAAGGAAATGATAAAAAGGAAGACAAAAAGTAATTTTAAATGAAATATGTTTAAATTGATCTATGGGACATGCTTGATTGGCCCTAGTTGTTTTCAATCTACTCTTGATATAATACATTTAAAGAATTGAATTCTGAAAACTATGCCTAAAACGGCAAGCAGATCCCACAACTCTATTATATAAAATCTTTTTTTTATTTTATTTTTTTAATAGATTGAGCATGGATCAAAAGCATGTAATTGAGTGTGGGATTGGTTAGCTCAGGGCAATGGGGCAAAAAGGTGTGCCCATCAATACTGGGGGGTGCTTTGAAACTTTGAAAATGAACCCCCAACATTTGGTATGGTAAGGTTTTCCTCTTGCAAATGCACTTTTGTGACTTTGCTGGAAGGATATCAAAGTCCAACCATTTACAGGTGATGATACACAAGTGATTCAATTATCAGTTTTTAAGTTCCTAAGAAAGTTAAACTTCTGTGGACATTCTTTTCCATCCTGTATCTTATTTGTGTTTGCACTTTATGGTAGAGATTTGCTCCTAATGTTCCAGGATGTGTCAGCAGTGGAGAAACTACTTTAGAAACCTGGCTGAGAAATGGTGTGATGAGTGCTACATATGCTTCAACAGACAGAACTCTCAGACCTTACCATCATTTCTAAAACATCAAATCATACAGTGAAATGCTGTGCAACTAGTATTTCAATCCAGAAGATCACAGGAGAGATTAGACCTTGGCGTGAATCCCAAGGTGGCTCTTTGAGAAAAAAATGACAACCTGTCAATAACAGATGAGTTCAATTAACGGAAATCTCATACATGTGGCTCTGCTGCCAACCATTGCTGGTCTTTCTGGGTGTAGATAATTACTCAGTAGATATAAGTGCACCACTTCAGATGTTGATGGAACAATAGAAATGGAATTTGGCTTCCATTTTTTTTTTTTTGCTTAATTGTGTGTACCATCAAGGAACGTATTACAAATAGACTTCACTTAGATACATGTTCAGCTGTACATGCAAACACACAGTATATTTTATATATTTATGGGTGGCAACTGTACTGTTATAAATCATGTACAGGAGACAAGTCTAATAGGATACATGCACCCATTAAAGTAATGTAACAACTGCCAGATTTTTTTCAATGCTCTTACTGGTAATAAAAATAAAAAATTTATGGGATCAACAGTTCTGGGTTCTTTCTTATCTGTATATATATATATATATATATATATATATATATATATAGAGAGAGAGAGAGAGAGAGAGAGAGAGAGAGAGCAAGCAATGTGTACAATGCTTTTATGTACAGGCCCCCTCACATCTCTTAAGCTGATATTAAAGGCAATTTTTTTCAAATAACAAACATGTTATACTTATCTGCTCTGTACATTGGTTTTGCACAGAGCAGCCCTGATCTGCCTCTTCTCTGTCCCCCCTCTGGCGCCCCTGGCTCCTCCCTCCTATTGAGTGCCTGCAGAGCAAGCAGTTTGCTATGGGAGCACACAAGCATGCTCACTCCCAAGAATGGACACACAGAGCAGCGTCTCGTCCCCCGTCCCCTCTCTCTATTCATTGGCTCACTGGCTGTGATTGACAGCCAATGGCTCGCACTGCTGTCTCAGTCAATGGGGATGCAGAGTCCCCAGAGAGTGGAGGCTCTTGTTCACATGGTTGGATCGCAATGGGGCTCAGATAAGTATTAGGGGGGCTGGTGCACACAGAAGGTTTTTTACCTTCATGCATAGAATGCATGAAGGTAAAAAACCTTGAGCATTTACAACGACTTTAAGGGTGTACTGTGTGAACTTTGTAATCCTTAATAACATAGGACAGCAAACAGAAGAAAGTATGCTATAGGCAGCAAGTCTTTCCATTGGAAGTACACATATGACTCCCGTTTGCTGTTGTAAACATTTGAACAATAGTTCCACATGCACAGATATTTCAAATATTCCATCTGGCAAAACACTCCGGGCTACAACTCAAGAGGTGAGACAAATACATAACGAGATTCCAATGCACAATGCCAACACGCACATTCCTCTATAAATGACTGTGTACGTAAGCAGGTGCTGTAACGACCATTGCCTGAACCAAGGACAGTCAAAGCAAAAGAACGTCACCAGCACACCTTGGATCTCCAATATAGGTCCAAAGCTTTATTCATCGGTCACATTGTTACAGCAAAAGCAATGTTTTGGAGCCTCACAGGACCCCTTCATCAGGCATATGACAATGCACAATGAGGACACAGCAGGCCTCCTGGTCAGGAAACTTCCAGATAGTGTCTTCCAAGCAACAATCATCCTCACATGAATCAATAAACAATCAGCTCTAGTTGTGTGTCTGTGCACAATTCTCACCCTCTGAGCTCACTTACTGGCTCACTCTATAGGTGCAGCCATCATTGAAGGTAAAGTCAGCATGGTGCTCCCTTATACCTCCTGAACGTTGGACTAATGGCCATGTGTTACCTTAAGCATGAGTGAAATGATATCTCTTTTTAAATCTATGCTTATAATTAGAGCGTGGACTCAATATTAGCTTGGAATATGAACATCCAGAGACTTTGTTCATTGTTGACACAATAGACCTGCATGCTATTTGCCATTATAACACAAAGCACAGTGACTCTGCACAGGGAATTGTTATAACTTCAAGGCAAGCTGCAGCTTGATCATTTAATGCTACCCTTTTCCCAACATTCATGGAGATGTCTAATTGGACAATATTTGCACATTTGGTGGTGTTATCAACAGACTATTAGTCAATTGGATGACTACAACACATAATTAAAATTATTTTCAGCGGTTTGCTGTCCCAAAATCAGTGTTGTGATGTGAAGGGCTTGTACAAGAAAGCATTACAAAGTTGAACATTGCTAAATATAAATGCATATGCATATAAGAATGCAGGACTATTTTTAGCATGTTTATTACATTTTTTTCTATAAAGGTGTATGTTTAAGCACTTACAGTATACACTGTTTTTCTCAGTTTTCACTTTAATGGGCGCCTACATCCATTAGACCTTATGATGGATAAGTTGCCCATGAGCCTATTTTGTTTATGAACAGATGTCTTATTTTTTTACAAATTTTTGCTAGTTTTACCAATCACCCTGCTTTAGAAAAAGAGTATGGTCAGCTCAAAAGAGGATTTTTCCCTCCCTTTGGAGAATTGTTTTTTCCTGGTATGCCTCCATGACTGGATGTGAAAGAAAATCTGCCCAATGGAATGCATACATAAAAAACCAAACAGATGATTTAAAGGATAAGTTCACCTTTTTGGACAAAAATAATTAATGCACATTTTTTGCAGGTAAAAAAAATGTGCATTTATTATTTTGTGTCCAAGGGAGCCTATAAAGCATTACACCAGTGATCAGTAGATTGCTGATGCCATGCAGGTCTCCTGCAGATCTGTCAGAAAATCTGCTTGATGTACGGTTTGTATGCACAAGCAGATATTCTGACAGGAAGAGTCAATGAACTACCATGGCACTTCACAGTGCCGTGTTAGTTTCTTGGAAAACTACAAGCCCACAGCTGCTAAGGCTGCTGGGACTTGCAGTTCATTCATTTACGGAAGTCTGTGAATGAATGATGCGGCTTTGTGGGCTGCATCAAATCTGACAGATAGTATGGAGAACCTTCTCCCTGTACTATCTGTCAGAGGGAGGGGGGGTGGCGGGCGAGGCTGCAGCTATGGCAATATGTTACAAGTTCCACCCTAAAAACAAGTGGAACATGTAGCAAGTTCCAAAGGTGTATTTAGCCTTTAAAAACATTCCTTTATCTATCAAATACTAAAACAACACTTTAGATTCAGTATATTTTTTATTAATTTCAGTTTAAAGAACTCAAAATGTAATTTTAATATAGATTCTATTTGGAAAATTAATTTCAGATTAAAAAAATTGAGCTAAGTCAGGCTGACAATTACATTTCACACCCTTCAGTTATTGTCAAATTACTGTAATTTTTGTTGCTTGTGTGTTTTAACAGGAAGGAGTACCAGAACCAATTGCCAAGAAGGTCACCAGTCAGCTAGTGAGCGCCCTTGAATTTATCCACAGCAGAGGCCTGGTTTATCGAGATGTAAAACCTGAAAATGTGCTTCTTTTTGGTACAGATTGTCAAAGGATCAAACTTACAGATTTTGGTCTGACTCGCCCTAAAGGCACCTTGCTTAAACTTGTGTCTGGTATAATTCCTTACACGGCACCTGAATTAAGCAACTCTCAGAATGGGGAGGCAGTTCCCATTGATTTTACTCTAGATACATGGGCCTTCGGAGTTCTTCTCTTTTGTTTGATGACAGGATACTTTCCTTGGGAGAAAACACTGCCATCTGACCCATTTTTTGAAGATTTTATAATGTGGCAGCAAACTGGCAGTCATGAAGAGTTATCTTGGCATTGGAGGAAATTGACATTTGAGGCCATGGATATGCTCAGGCAGTTATTGGCACTGAACCCTTCTGAAAGGAGTTCAGTGAACAAAGCTTTACGATATCTGAACCATCCATGGATAGTGGATAACTGGAAATCATTGCAAGAATTAAAATAATTCTTCTGCTTTATACATTTCTTGATACAGGCTTGTTTTATGATAGCATAATTACATAAATGTCAGAAATATAGTTAGTAGAGAATACTAACATATATGCCATTTCTTATTTTGGGTACTTCAGTCTATTTCTTGACCAAAATCTGCCAACTTTTCCAGTCACAGACAACACTTTAGTTGTAAAACTGCTCTTTTACTCACCAGAGTTTGAAATACATTAAGAGTTTACTGATTAAGTAACATGCCCTGAAATATTTTGGATGGCATTCTGTTGTTTTACTGTATATCAATGAAGGTAATGCCAGTTTCTTAGTCACAAAAATCCTTATAGTGGAAGTAAAAGAAATCTTTTCAATCAATTTATTGATGCTGTAGGTGGCTGATGCTGCTGGTGGATTATGGACTGAAGAGGGACAATACTCAAATACCATCACTACTTTCATACTATTAATCACTACCATCAAAGAACATCAGTTTTAGGAAGACACACTAGTCAGAGCACTTCCTACTAGTTTATTACAGAATGGATAATTGTGATAGGTATGTCACAAATATTAAAGCAGTGGACCAGAAAGCACGGCAGGAACCATTTTTTTTTCATAAGGATGGTAATACTAAATGTAGTTTTCTTTCCATTTTCAAATACCTTTGAATCATTATATAGGCAATATTGTACACTAACAGTAGCTTTGCCTGTCTACCAAGTTTTTCTGTAGAAAATAGTGAGTTCCCATTTGACTGACAGTATGTATGTCAAATGTCACCTTTGGTAAAATGTTTTACAGCTGTTTTGTAACATTTAAATTACCTAATAAAATGAAGACATGCATTGCATTTTAGTGTCGTTTTAGTAATTTGTTTCCTGCAATCCAAGTTACTAATTTAAAATGGAAATAGATACCAGTGTTTAGTAAAGCAGTATCCATGAGGTGACAATAAACCCTTATTAGACTTCACACTTCTATCTACAGCAAAACAAAAATGAACTAAGGCTGGCCATACACTATACAATTTTCTTACAGTTTTCTGGCCAATTTCTGCCCAATTTCCTTTAGATTTACCTTCCACTATGTAGTGCAAGGGCCTGCTTAATTAGATACAAGTGAAGTTGTTGTTTAGGTTTGACCTCATATTATATAAGTTTTTTGGTAAATCTAAAGAAAAAATCTCAGGAAAATTGTATAATGTATGGCCAGCCGTACAGTAAATTCTTCTAACACACAGTCAAGGTGTGAGTGATAGTATCTCTATAACCGTAGGTATGTTGTATTGGTTAATTCTCAATCCTACATAGAAACTAGCCAACCACTATGATTTCTAAAGGAAAACATTTTATTATCTATGGCAACAAGGCAAGAAGGTTGACTGACATTTTCGGTATGTTTAGAGCAAGTCACAGAGCACAGCTAAACAATGCCTCCTCTCTTTACTTCAAACTGCACATGAGTAAAGACACTTGGGCTGATTCAATAGAGAATTCATGAATATTCACACAATAAATTGTGTGAATATTCGCTTCATTGATAAGTTAAAAGCAAATTACTGTTCTCTTTAAATATCCAATCATGTGCAGATAAAATAAATAAATATACTGAAATTACAACTAAAACGCCCCAAAGATAAGAACATTTTTACGCAAAGTATTTGCATAAAACAGAGAGGCATAGCCACATTTATACTACTAAATAGGAATCTGAAAAAAGAGTATCTTAAAAAGTCTCTTACTTACCAAATATTAAACAGATAAAGTTTGCATATAATATTATTATTTAAAAAAGTTCAAACTTTATTAACCATAAACCAATAAAAGAAATGTAATATGTGGTTAATTTGGAAGAAAAATTCACAATCATTTGGACTTATCATTCCATATTGAATAACATGTTTTCCTACTTGATGGCTGTTTATCCTTCAAGTCTGTCCCTGCCTGAACAATAAGTAATAATTGCAGAACTGAAAATAAACCTTTACAAATAATATGGATCACCATACACAATCAGATCACCATCCAACTATTAGTGTTAAAAACATATACTGTATATTTTCCTTTCCAGTCCCTTTACTGTATGAGATTAATCCATGACAAGGAAGCATTCTACAGGTGATCTCAAAAGTATCCCTCTGTGTGGATTAGAAAAATTGCCAACTCACCAGAAATAGAGACTACCTTTTTCAAAAGTGCAGCATCAGTGCATTAGACAGCGATTTCTGTGCTAGCATCCCAGTCCTTCAACTTGTAGAAGACAGATTCATCTGTTCATCCACTTTTATATTTTGTGCTCATAATACATCCAAAAATAAATAAAAACTTTATAGTGCAGTATTCAACGTAATCCGCATTCACAAACACCTGTGAATCCAGCATATTAGTATGACAAAGTGCATATCTACAAACTGATTTTTTTTACAATGACATATAGTATTTGTAAAGGTTTATTTTCAGAGCTGCAACTATTATTTATTAATTTGATTTAAAGTTTGTATACAGTATTCACCTTTATTGCAAGCAGCTCATATAGATTCTTTTTGTTGTAGCGCTGGCATTCTTATATTTTTCTTTTTGTTCCTTAATGAGCTTTAGCTCACAGAAACAACTGTTTCCTCACTTACATGGTGCCATAGCAGGATTTTCCACAACAATCAGCTCTTAAAGTTGTACTTTTCCCATATGACCAGTCACTATTTCTTTGCGCTATGAATCCAATCTATTGTTAGGTATCTACAATCTTCCTAATACTAAGGTTATATTTTCTTTCACCTTTCACACAACTATTCAAGAAAATAACAGAACCTTAAGGGATCCTTAAACTATCTTCACAAAACTGATCCTCTGCATAAAATCAGTATCAGTAGTTACTCTTCATATGTCTAGATTTGTGTAGGCTACCTATGTTATGGACCTCATATTGCCCTAAAACAGAAATGGCTTGTAGGATACTGGAAACCAGACCAGGGTCTAGGCACAGCCTATGTGAAATAATTTGAACCCTTTTGGTTGTTGTGTTGGTTTACTACTCATTACTTATGTCCCAGCTGGCTTTTACTTAGGTTGCACACTATCTGATCAGAAAGCATCTGGTAGTTTCACTTTGGGTAGCTAACTAGCATGCACAGTTATAGAGAAAATGCATCTACCTTAGCTCTTTCACTTATGTCTGGTAATTGTAAATACATTTCACACAATGTGGTATTAAAGTGATACTAAAGTCAAATTTTTTTTCCTAAAATAAAAAAGATGCTATATTTACCTGCTCTGTGCAAGGATATTACATAGAACTGTCTCTTATCTCCTCATCTGATTTCCCCTGTAGACACTGTCCTCTCCTGTTCTTCTCTGAGTGCCCTCTCAGCAAGTCATGTGCTGAGAGGGCATCTATACAGGTGCGCTCCCATGTCAGGCTGTGTGCACCCATAGACAAACACAGCTGGGCTCAGCCATGCCCTCCTGCTTCCTCCTCACTGGACTTGACTGACAGCAGCAGGAGCCAGGTGCTGCCTATGTGTCCTGTGAGAAGAGTAAGAGAAGAGAATGAGGGTGCATATGGGCACAGTGCTAGATCACTGATTAGCTCAAGTAGGTGGTGGTAGTTGGGGGGGGAGGGGCAGAAAAGAACAGCTAGTGGAAGGTATTTTACCTTAATGCAGGGCATGCATTAAGGTATAAAACCTTTTGACTTTAGAACCACTTTAATGCCTCATTTAAAATATACAAGACCTTTATTGCTTATTATAAACTTTACCCAAACATAATGAGGCAAATTCACTAAACGAGAATCTTCACTAAAAAAATTGTGTGAATATTCCCTTCAGTTATCTAATCATGCAAAAAGCAATACCTGTTCACTTTGGAAACCCAATCATGCGCAGCAGCTTTTTACATGATTATGTAAATGAACCACTTACCAGAGGATTTACCCCCCTTCCTGAACAGGCCATTTTTTGTGATACGGCGCTGCATTATTTTAACTGACAATTGCGCGGTCATGCAACGCTGCACCCAAATGAAATGTATTTCCTTTTTTCCCACAAATGTAGCTTTCTTTCTGTGGTATTTAATCGTCACTGCATTTTTTTTTTTCACTGTAAACAAAAAACGACTGACAATTGTGAAAAAAAATATATATTTTTGACTTTTTGTTATAAAAACATATCCAGTAAAAAAATGTAAAAATCAAATTTCGTCATAAATTTAAGCCAAAATGTATTGTACTACATGACTTTGCTAAAAAAAAATCCAAATACATGTAAATTAATTGATTTATGTGAAAGTTATAGCATCTACAAATGGCAGTATATATACTGGAATTTTTTGTATACTAGTAATGGCGGTGATCAGTGACTTCTAGAGGGACTACGGTGGGCATTCTGACACTGGGGGGGAACTGATTAACTGTCACTCACATCCCCAGTGATACTAATACAGTAATCAGTGTTAATAAAAAGCACTGACACTGTACTAATGACACTGGGTAGGAAGGGTGTAACATCTGGGGCGATCAAAGTGTTAACAGTGTGCTATGACTGAGTGTGTTTTTACTATGTAAGCATGCTGCTTTGTTTTGCTCTAATATGCAGAGCAATACAAAGCAGCATGCTGATGCTGACAGGGGAGAGGTCTGTGTTGTTTAAATGCAGGCCTCTCCTCTGTCAGAGTTCCTAAGCGATCGCTGGGTGCCAGCAGGGAATCTCCAGCCGGGACCCGGTGATCGACAGCTGTAGCCGCCAATGATGGCGCGGGTAGCGGTTATGAAAATATTCACATATTTCTTTTCATTGAAGATGCTCAACTTCTTTAGTTAATAAGGCCCTATATGTTTTCAAAAAGTACATTTCTTTGGGGGGGGTGTGGCAACCGCGCTGCTGAACGGAGCTATGCTCAGCCACCGGAGAATACAACCTTCCCTGGAGCCCTACGAACACCCCACAGCGGCGGTTTTGGCCCCATCAGTTTTGGGCAACCTCTAGACATGCCCGAATGTGCCATAGCCTGGCAAGCTGGA